GTCGCATAGAATCGTGGGTGTCAATTATAGAAGTGCATGCAGGTCGGTGAGTTGGATGTTTTAGCCTGCTCCTTCTGTATGGTCGCGTCGGCGAAAAGTCCAGCCAGCAAGTGAATGATTGGTGCGCAATAGCAAGCGTTTGGAGAAAATGCTGAAACTGGCCTACTGCGCGTATGTATGATTATGGCGAGGTTGACTAGGGACGTCGCAGTCCGAGGAATCAGATCAACTCGGAGAATTTGTGAAGCAAACAGAGGCCGGTTGTTTTATGCAGCTCGTCACCGGCAGACAGTAAATGTTGGAGTGTGGGGACAGAGCCTCAGTCGCGGTGGTTCAAGATTGGTCGGATTGGCGCCTGTGGATGGTGTTGGTGTGTAGCGTGGAGGATGCAGCCTCAGCGCTTAGCATAGACGTTCAAATCGCTGAAATGTCGTTTAGGTGAAACACGGTATCAGGAGGGGTCCAAAAGCGAGTGAATGCTGTGTAATTTGGCGTATGAGAAGAGAAGAGACAAAAAGATGGGTCGCAAGTCAAAGATGTAGTTCGGTACTAGTCGGGCAGGAACCAAGCGGATGACAGCCACTGGCGCTTTCTTGCTGTGATAGGGAAAGAGTAATCGTGAGGGAAGAATCGGAGATGCAGCTGAAGAGTTGATCCCAAACACGCCAAATGCGAGGCGCATTATTGGGCTTATGTCATGGGCTTCATTGGCCGCCAACGCTGGCCGAAGAGGAGACACTTCAGCTCCTTCATTTCCTCAGCCGTCCAGTCCATCTGCGAAGATTTGGAGGGAGCTGGGGACCGTTGCAAAGTAAGGGACCGAACCGCTAGTTGCTGTTCTCCTCACTTGACAAGACCGGTTGACCAGCATCATGCCGCGCTGCAGTTTCGTAAAGGCACCGGATCTCGACATCGTGGGTTCAGGACATCGGCATCTCGTTTTCGGGAGCAGGAAGCAGATCGCACGGCAGCTCCAGTTCCCCTGTCGCAAGCAGCCAACGGCATGCCAGACACGACTCGATTGAGCGCGCGGTTACTGCTGCGACCGCCACACGGCCGCTTAATTCGCGGGCCCCTGACACGATCGTCGGAGAAGATGAAGCGACCCACTCACAGCCCTGCCATCTTCCACGAGGGCTTCCGCGCTAGATTCCTTCAGCTTCCTTGGTGCATGCAATCGTTCGAGCATGGCGCATAACCAGGTGCTGCATGGTTTGTCGTTGCTAGGGGAGTTCGTCGTCCGGATCCTTCTTCGTACCTTACAACAGGTATTCGGTGCGCGAGAGAGCGGGGGAACCACCTGAGCACCTGAGTACCTGCCATCGCGACAAAACCAGATTTTAGTGCGACCCACTGGGCACCGAACTCTTCGAACCAAGTTTTCTCAGAGAGCGTCACAATTCCGACACAGCTCCTAGCGCCGGTTGCGGCACAGCCTTGCAGATAGAAGTGGAGGCCATCGCCAACCACGACCGTCGGAGAGGTGCTGCATGCTTTGGAAACCCCGGGGCTGGTTCCTAGCGGCATCGGTTGCACCGCGATGACGGCGGATGAGCTATCATTTAGCGATATACAGCAAGCGAGCGCATGTTGTTTTCTTTGCCGCAGCGTATACAAGTTTCAAAGAAGGGTTATGCAGTCATAAAAGATCTTGCTTATTTCATCGCAAAGGGTTGGTGGCTGAAGGCGGCGTGTCCAGGCGCCGAGGGCATGCAGGGCAAAGTTTGAGCAGGAACCAGCAACGTGATACGACAGTGATGACTAGCATTGCATGCGAGATATCTGACAGGCTTTCAAAGCTTTGCACTCCCCAGCGCATGCATGGTGCATGTATGACCAGCATCTAGTCCTTCCGTCTAACCCTCCTCAAAGCCTACTGAAAACTGGTTTCGAGAATCTCAGGCTTGCGCTCCTCCAAGTCCAGTATCATCTGTCCAAACAGCCCATTCGCCCACGAGAACCACTGCCTCGTCCAGTCACTCTCGTTGAAGCTGTTGATACTCTCGTGGATCAACCCCAAGCCATCCGTACTGCTCACTATCTGGGCTAGCTCATTCACGATCTCGGCCTCATCGTCACTCGTGAAGATGCGAACAATGGAAGCCATCGGCCAGGCCATGCCCGGTCCCTGATGTGGCCCACCAATGGCGTTGATCACGGGACCTCTCATAAAGTAAGGGTTCATGGAGCTGAGCACGAGATCGCGCGTGTTCGCATACGTCTCCTCGTTAACTGGGTACTTGAAGAACGGCGCTGAGAGGAGACCCGGGATGTTGGCGTCGTCCATGATGTTGCGCCCACCGAAGCCATCGACCTCGAATGCATAGACCTTGCCGTATACCGCGTGGTCGACGGTTCCGTGCGTCTCGATAGCGTTGCGCACCGATTCTGAGAGCCCGGACATTCTCTTCGAAAGTGCTGCAGAGTTTGTGTTATTAAGTTTGCCCATAATCTCAGCCGTTGGAGTAAGGTATGAGCTAAACATCATGTTGGCTGGGATGTAGAGCTGGTAGATAGTGGCATCGTCGCTCGGTCGGAACGCGCTCCGGATCAAGCCAGTGCCGTTGGCAACGGGGTTGCCGATTCCGTCGTTTGAAAGAGTTTCGGTCGCTCGGGTGGTGGTTCTCTCCCATGTATATGGACTCTGCAGCACTGCTCCGTCTGCGCCGTAGGTAGGAAGCATCATGTCCTCGGCTACATCCAGTACCGCTTCGACAGCTTTCACCCACTGGAACTTGCCAAAGAAATCGACGTCGCCGGTTTTCTCGTAGTAATCGGCAGATATCTGTAGAAATGCTGCAAGCGAGTCGAGCTCATACTTGCATTCGAATACGGTGCTGTTGTCAATCTTGGGAAAGACGATATCTTCGTTGGCAGAGTCGTTCTCTGCCGGAGGAACACCGCTTTCGGGAGGCGGTTGGAAAGAGTTGCAATACGGCGCTGCAAGTAGGTATCGCGCCTGAAGGTTGATGACTCCCCGGTACAAGCTGGCGATTGAGTTGGGATCGGTGCTGGCGTTCAACAGCGGTAGGTAGCTTTGTAATTGATTCGACGAGTCGCGTAGCCACATCGCGTTGATGTCTCCAGTAATGATGAACGTCAGCTCCTCCTCTGTGTTGTTTGCAGCGTAGCCCTTCCATTTGATGGCCGTGTCGAGCGTGTTGGGATAGGCGTTCTGGAAGAGGCGGTACAGGTCCGGATCCTTGATTACATTTTCCATGCGCGCAACAGTATCCTCCAGGCCTTGCGATTTGAAAGTTCGACATTCTTCGGACGGCCGTTGGTAGGCGAGCTGGTTTTTGCCGGAACTCAGAGGTTCATGAACCTCCAACGCGTAGTCCACGTATTCTGGACATTGCGCTGAGATCAGCAACGGTATATTGGAGAGCGCGCCGAGGACCATGAGGTTGCGCATCTTGTCGGATGATAACAAGGCAGTCTTGAGGAGCCAGAGAGAGGTACCGAAGACAATGGACAGCGAGGACCGCTCTAGAGTATATGTTCGGGGCTATGACGGCACACATGGATCGTCATGGTCACCGACTGTCTTTGCTCCATTCGCTGCCTGTTCCTCCGAATTGGAGGTACCCCGCTTATGGATCTGGTGAGCATCGACAGCTTGGCAACGGATGCAACATTCACTGAAGCTATTCGATGGACCCACGAGGTCGAAAGCACGGCGACGTCATTTAGCTCGTGAGCCGGGCCGAACGGTCAGCGGACTGGAAATTGCTATTCAGAAGAAGAAGGTATCATGAGAGCTCACGGATGTGACTCCAGGTACGTTGTTTGTCGATTGACTCCAACGCGTAAAGTGCCGGCAATTTGCGAGGTCATAGCTGGGGTGCATGGAGGTTTGACGATCTGCGGGGTGGCTGGCGCACCAACACCTGCAACGAAGACATCTAATTTCGCAACACGTTTCTGAGTTTGACAGAAGAGCGATGCTCGAATAGACTTTTTGGAGTATTTGGAAATGGTTAATGACTTGCTTTTGACAGCGTAGACATAGGAAGCCTTCCAAAGTTGAGTGAGAGCGCTCTGTGCCTATGTGCCACAACAGGCTAGCGCGCCTACCCCAAGGAAGTGGACCGAAAGAACGCTGAGCTTTCAACGCTCTATCACTAGCCTCGTAAAACCTCGCGCTTCCCCATATTTCCTCCATCACGGTCTCCGCCTGGAACTCGAAACTTACACGAACTTTGCCTGAACTCTAGAAACGGACATGATGAATGTCGATAGATGCAAACCAAAGTACAGCGCATCCTCTACACCCGCCGCCTTCTTCCAATCACGATAGCATGCATGTGCCCAAGTCTTGCTCATCTCGAGACGCAATGGTAAGCTGACACCCTCAATTGGCGCGCGCGATACCGGCCGCATTGAAGATACTAGAGAGCTTGATGCCATACGAAGCTTCTGTCTTTTTGGTACAGCTGCAATAATTCCTTCTTTAATGAGCAGTCCAGAAGAGTGCCGTTCTTCACCTAAACATCTAATCGACTAGCATGGTCCAGGCGTTAGCCCACAAACCCTGACTCAAGCGTACCTGGATGGAAGAATGCTCCACTGGGAATGTAGAGTAATCATCATCTTTGTCCTGCGGTGGGTTCATCCATAGAGCGGAACCTTGCGGCCTGTGGTCGAACACAGCTGATAGCTCATCGCTGCCCCAGACACGGAACGGCTCACAAGGAGTACAGTCTGGACTCAAACCAGCGTACAATTAGACTTTCGGACCCTGTGCATATCAGTAAACGACTGCAAGACTCAGCTGTGGCTGTGGCTGTACCCAGCTTCGTGGGCATCTCTCGGCCGTTCGGAAAACGGAATCTTGGTCGTCCGAAGAGGCTTCAGTGGCCCAATCCGTCTTTCGTGCTGACATCTGAGTCGTTTCCATGCTCGGGAAACATGGCAAGAAAGCACGGATATCCCTTGCACGTCTTGTGATGTCGTCTGTCAAAGTCACCGGGGTGTTGCGGTTTGGTACCAGTTCACGCTCATGGCAACGACCGCATGCGTGGTAGAGTGAAGAACTTGCACTGCATTGTTCGGAACACTACATCAGTCAAGAGGTATAAATCCCTTGGAAACATCAATCTACCCTTATGGAAACCATGTCCCGGAACCCCGCCCCAGAACTATCTGTCCGTCTCGGACCACCCCGCTTTCCCGGGAGGTTGACAGTATACTGATCGTGAAGTACAGATTTTCCCCTGTCGATCAGTGGCTTCGCAGCCACTTCTCTTCGATCGTGAAGTATCTGGAGGAGGAAGGCTTCGACGAGTGGGGTCCGTCAGGCCGGGAGTGGTGGTTGATCCGTCGAACGCTTCTTATCACCCAAACAAAATTCCGAACATCTCTCATGAGGTCTAATCCAATACAATTGCAAAAGTAGTGCCTCTCGGTCGTTTCGTAGTGTCGCGTCGCTGTTTATCCTGTTGTAGGGCCTCACGCCCTCTCAGGCCGCATGTGTTGCAGTCTTTTTCGGCATCCACCTCGACGAGGCTGGAGGGTGCTCGTTTTCTCATCCGTACGTAGTGTTGCTACCGCTTATTCAAGTCAGCTTGAGGCTACGTTCACAGGTGAAGCGACGTCATCTTACCTTGGACTCATCGGTGCGTGACCTAGGTTGGACTGAAAGTAGGGCTTTGGCATACCCAGCTGGGGTAGCTTGCGCCAACTTCGTTCCCGCACTTCTCGCATATAGGAGTCTTGCTCTGGGCTTCTGTGGAAACGTCTTGAGTCATCTTCAGGCTCTCCGCCGTAGAACCGGTAGACAGCGAAACCGCAGCAGACGAGCGCGCCTGCTCCGAGGATAACGAGGAATATGATGAGGGCTGGGGCGATGTCGAAGCCCATGTTGTTTCTTTTCTGAAGATACATTGTGACTGCGGAAGAAGGGGTATATGCTGTGGTACAGAATCTCGTGCGACGGGAGCGGGTGATATAGGGATGGAGTAGTGTTTGCTGCGGTGACACGCTCACGATCAACAAAGGTAAGGCAGAGAGTGAGCCTAATGCGCGGAGGTTCCGGAAGCTGCAGGAGTGACAAGAAAAAGACCGAGGGGATGGTCAGCGTTGCGCTGACGACGACGAAATAGTATGGTGTGATGCGGCAACGTCCCACAGACACCGAGTTGCGAGACCCTGCGTGCCACAATCACTTACCTATATACCGTTGCACCTATCGCTTCGGGAACCGCAAGGTCTTCCAGATCGTGCGTCTGATGCGAACCAAAGACCCAATCGGTTGCTAGGAGGATGCGACCCTTTCACCATGCTATTGGCTGCGTCACATATTCACGTGCCTGGGCAGCCAGTAAAGCTGCGTTACCCCACCTATCGACCACGTCTAAGACCAGTTGGCACTCGGAAACGCGTAACACCCCAGCTTCGTCTGCTGCGTAGACACGCGTGGAAGTGTGGTTTCCGGACAGCCCGGGGAGGCTATGTTGGCTGGAAGGTTTCGGACCTGAACTTGGCCCGACTCTTGGAGCCTCTGGTTTCCTTAGCTTTGTATACTGCGATATGTCCTCCTTTTTCTTCTGCCTCTGGGCGCAATTTTGATGCGAATATTTCTGTCTTTTGGGGCTGTGAATGTGAATGTTCGCTGGGGACGCCTGTGGTGGTACGGTCTTACTTAGCCTTGGTGACGCGTCATCCGCACCTTCCAGGCATGCCGAGCGTCAGATTCCCCACCTCCTCAGGCCAACAGCGAGAGCATCAGCTTTCTTATATGAAGATGCGACACTCAGTGACGCAAACTTTGTTCCTGGACGATGCGCATCGTTCGCCGATCGTGAGGCACGTCAGAGCGACAAATTTAGCATAACAGCGATGACGTCGCACCGTCCCTCGCGCCCGCCCTGACGATCCCTTGAGCCCAAGCTTATTACACCTTCGACGTCCTTCTTCTGGTCCTCCTCTTTGACACTCTGGTTGTTGAGATGAGATTTTACTGATTCCCATGGTTGCGATACACTGAAGCCAATGCTTACATTCGACACGTCATCCTCTTTGACGCAGATGCGCATTCTTCAGTAGCAACACATGATGATACCCAGGTATGCGCTCCAGCAAGGGCGGGCGTGGTGGGCGCGCGACGGACGCAATGGTTTCAAAGACCGAAGCGCCAGTCGCGCCGGCGACGTCCATCCTACCTGACGCAGCAAGAGAATGTTAATGGGATCTCTTATCGAGAGAGATTGTCGATGCTACCTTCCTTCTGTTGAGTCTCCAGGTTAATCTGTTATGGCCGGACACACACCGAGCGACGAGATTCTGGACCTAGAATTGGTAATGGACATTTACACCAATCAGCGTATCTACTCTTCGAAAAGACATCAAGAGACGGAGAAGTTGGGCAAACCAGTGCTTAAAGAATCGAGGCTACATCGTGGTAGGAGTAGATGGAATGCCTTTCTAGATGAGTTGCACTTCGTGTGACCTGAGACGTTTCAGAGATGCACGCATCGATCGCCAGCCTTGTGCAAGAGATGCATCGCCACAAAGTGGGTTGACGTTCGGGTTTGCGGTCCGTGATTAATCTATATACATTAAACGCCCTGGGTTTTGACGCCACCGGATATAATCGACTCGGATGCAGCAACACTTGCAGCAACACTGCAAGTATGTCCAAGTCCCCACGGGGTATTAGTTACACTGCATTTCGGTAGCCGTAGGGCTTACATTATGACTGCCGTAGATCCGTGCTGGTTCCCGTGAGCTGCTGAGTTGCGCCATCAGCGGAATGTTAGGCATCGCATCGTTACTCTCGGCTGTTGAGTACCTGAGCATGCAGCTTGATACAACAACGACAATATTCTTCGTTGAGTCCCGTCAATACACCGAGAGGTCCACATCGCCCAGAGTTTAAGTAAACAAAGTACCACAACGTAGTGGCTGAAACTCGCACGTGGTTGGTGACCACCTGGACGGCGGCAGTGGCCGCAGCCGAGGATAGATTGCCCATCACCACTTCAAGGACAGCACTGCGTCTCATAAATTAATACTGGAGTCATTGAAATTCTCCTAGCCTATCGCAGTGGTTTCACGCCGTCACCAGACTGGAAACACCGCTGGGCTTCCAATGATCCAAGAGCTCGACGACCAGGGCGTGTTTCCACGAGCGGATGGCGTTCAACTCAGAAACCAGGTCGACTCGTGCATGGAGATGAATTTTTTGATTGCAAGGCTTCGCCAATACCTGGTCGTGGGAAAACGTGGGCGCCAGTAGAAGGCCACTAGAAGACTTCAGAGGAGTATATGAAGGGGCGTTAAGTCCCAGGTTGAAGTTCACTCTCGACAGCAAGCCCATCACTACACAGCTTCAATAATCGCTTCTTACAAGTCATTCACTTCGAATACCATCAACATGCTCTCTTTCCTCCTCCTTCTCGCGCCCCTTGTGGCAGCCCACGGCCACGTCGACAAGGTCGTTGCCGACGGCAAGGAATACCAGGGCTGGAACGCTGCTCTCAAGTACCAGACCCCCATTCCCGCCACCGTAGGGTAAGTGACTCTGTACGAACTGCACGGGAAACGTACACTGACTCAGTCCCAAAAGATGGCAAGCCGACAACCTTGACAACGGTTTCGTCTCCCCCGACAGCTTTGGCACTGCCGCCATCGTCTGCCACAAGCAGGGCAAGAGCAACGGTGCCTACGTAACCGTCAAGCCCGGCAGCAAGGTCACCTTCAAGTGGGACACCTGGCCAGTCAGCCACGTCGGCCCCATCCAGGAGTACATTGCGCCCTGCAACGGCGACTGCGGCTCCGTCAGCCCCTCTGACCTGAAGTGGACCAAGATCCAGTCCAGCGCCTGGAAGTCAGGAAGCAACCCAGGAAAATGGGCTACTGACGACCTCATCGCCAACAACTTCGCCTGGGACCTCACCTTCCCCAACGTCGCCCCTGGCAACTACGTTGTCCGCCACGAGATCATCGCTCTGCACGCTGCTGGCCAGACCAACGGCGCCCAGGCGTACCCCCAGTGCGTCAACTTCAAGGTTGAGGGCTCTGGAACTGCTAAGCCCAGCGGCGGTGTTGCTGGTACTAGCTTGTACAAGGTAAGATCTCCCACTCGAATCGTACCATGCTTGGGTGCAATATCGAACATGTGCTAACGAGACGATTTAGGCCGACGACGCTGGTATCAAGTTCAACGTTTTCCAGTCCTTCACCAGCTACCCCGTCCCCGGCCCTGCTGTCAACAAGCTCGCCAAGCGCCACCCCAAGGACCTCGAGTACTAGATACGAACACGAATAATGAGATATGAGATGTCTGGAAGGCATGGGATGAGATGAGTGGTTCATGGGTACATACTTCTTTTGTGTCGCTCGTTAAGGCTTGCGAGACAGTGTATATAGAGCATTGGTGGAGTGTATATAGCATTTTGGAATCACATTGCGTTATCTTTGGATCTTAATGCTGCCGGATAGCGCTCAGCGCCCTATGATTGTGTATGTGAGGACCTGATTAGCTACGTGATAATCTTCAATCGAAATAAGCATAGTGAAAACTGGGAGGAGATAGCTGCTGAACTAGGTCAAGAAAACTGTACAACCTGTCAAAAGAAAACACTTTTCGCCCCATAGTAAGTCCGGTTCCCTGCAAGTCCTGACATTCCCGTCACGCACAAAATACACTCAATGCAGCTAAACATGGCCGACAGCGCAACGCCCCTCCGTCTGGGCACTCCCATAAGCCGAATTGGGCCGCACTTCTCTTTGTATGACATTGTGGACAAGGCTCGTTTTGATACTCGACGTGCTTCCATCCAAGGTCGATACTCTCATCTCTGAGTCGCTCTTCGTTCCCAGGACCACCTACTTCTTGGAGTCTCTGAGCGTGAATTCGCCGGGCTTGCTCACGGGCCATGTGCTTTCGGAGGCCTGATGTCATGGACTCCTCGAGTTTAGGCTTTTTAGGGGCCGTTTCGTCTTGCGCATCCTCCCTATCACCGGGGACTGGCCGCTTCAGCGACATAGAGAGCTCTTGTTGACGACGAAGTCGCTCTTCAGCAGCCTCAGCATTTCGCTTCTGAGCGTCAGCAAAAACCTTGGCCTGCCTCTCGTCGGCTTCGCGTTGCTTTCTGGCAAGCCGTTCATGTTTTTGACTTCCTTCCTGGTTCGGTTCTGGGGATTGCTCGTCGTCGATTTCGCTTGGTCGGGGTAATTCATCCTGTGGTTCACCATGGTCCTTAGCGGAGTCCCTTCGTTTCTGGGCTTTTTCCCAGTCAGCTTTAACTCGCGCCTCTTCCTTAGCTCGCGCCAGTCCTTGTCGTCTTCGTTCCTCTTGTAGTTGCTCTTGTACGCGCCGTACTCCCTCCTCTCGCCGCTTGACTTCCTCCTCTTGTTTTCATTGTTCCTCACGCCGTAATTTGTCTGCTTTGATACGTTCTGAACGTAGTAATGCCGCCTCAACAGCTTTCTCCTGGATTTTCCTCGCCTTCTCCCTTTCAAGCTCGGCCTCCTCTTCGAGTATCTTTCGCTGTCTCTCTTGAACTCTTGCCTGGCCGCGTTTATTTTCTCGTTCAGTGGCTTCCCAAGCCCCCAATCGCACGCGATAGACATTCCAAGCGCCCCGTATCTTGTGGTGATCTTTGTCGTATCTGGCCCTTTCCTTGCTGCTCTTCAGCGCCTTCCACGCAATACCAATCTAGACATAATACTTAAGTCAAGTAAAGGTAGTCAACAATGTGTAGGTACGTACGTTCTGGAACAGTTCCGTGCTGGGTTTCGCGTCGGCGAACTTGCTATCCGGATGGTGAATGAGTCGCAGCCTTTTGTATGCTGCATCTACTTCAGCAGAAGACGCACTCTCATGCACGCCGAGCAGTTCATAGTAGTCCAGGCGGCCAGGTGGTTTCGGTGGCCCGTCCATTGTGTAGAAGTATTAGAGGCAATAGCTATGTTGTGAGATAGACGAGAGGTGTAAGGATATTAGAGTGTGGTGTAGGAAGGATACCTAGAGAGCAAGTAGTAGAGTAGTCTTATATATACGCTTAGCGTCTCTCCTAATAGGCGGTCAGGGAACGGTCTCTTAAAGATGTAAGAGAAACAGGTAAGAGGCGAGAATGTTTAGTGCAGGTAAAGGTCGGCAAGTATAGACTAGTACACGATGGAATAGACATAGTAAAGTAGTCATGTTAACATGACATCTAAGGTGAGCGTACAAGATAACTTTTTGCGAGTGTTTCTCTAACAAGATATAAAGATTAGCTAGAGAAACAGACAACGGTAGATACCTTCTACCTTTACCTTCAGTGCCCTAGTACACCTCGTAATTTACCTTTACCTTTACCTCTGCATCGGATGATCACCAAACTGACTTCGGTTCCCCATCTGCACACCGTGACTTTGCATCTCTTTACCGTAGTCCATTACTTCTTCCTCCCACTTCTTCAGCGCGTCCATTCCTCCTCCTCCGATAACCTTCTCGACAGCGCCAGCAAGCTTCATCGCGTCTAAGGCAGCCTGGTTTGTACTCGCCGCTGTATGTGGTCTGAATCCAGCAAGTGCATCGCCAAGCAAGAGTACTCTACCGTTCTCCAACAAGGCAGATGGCGCGATGACATCTGTGATGGCTTGTACGAAGGGTACCTCAGTCTTGTTGACAAGCTCAGCGAATTGTGGTGGGAGTATCTCATTCGCGAGGGCCTTTTGCCGTCTCCATACATCTTCTTTGATTCCACCCGGCGGTAATGTGATGTGATGTCTCTTCCCCTCGTTGTCTGTCATGAGCTCGACGTGCTCCGGCGATTCTTCCTTGTAGTTGACGTACCAGACCCAGTTCAGCAATCGCTCACCAGGTTTGGTTGTCCCGCTTTTCCCTGGTATAGTATATGCTAGTATCTGGATACCCTCGGTGTGGTAGAATGGGAACTTCTCGACGAAGACATCGGTGGCAGCCTGTGAGACTTGCGTTTCGGGTACTGTGCCGCGCCATGCTACGTATCCGGCGTATGTTCGCTTGACGTCGGGGAAGTATTCGGCGCGTATCTTGGAGCTGGGACCGTCGGCTGCGATGACGAGGTCTGCTTCGGTGGAGAACGTCTCTCCGGATTTGTGTTGGATTGTGATCTTGACGGGCTCTGAGAAGTCCAATCCCGGAGATGATGCTGGTTTTGGTGCCGCAACACTCGTAACCGTACACCCATACTCATACGATGTCTTTCCCTCCCCTTCTTCCGTCGGGGGTACCTTCGCGTAGTCGGTCTCAGTACCATCGTAGTTGGTTCGTAGGAGGTGGTACAGCAGATCCCAGCTTGTCATGCGCTGCTCCTGATTGTGACGGCTTATGACATGGCCTTCTTTATCGAGATATAGCCGTTGATGACTCGGGATTGTCAACGTGGTTTGACTTCGGTCGTGCGCTTTGAAGAACTTTTGTACGTCTTGTCCGGCCACCACACCAGCGCCCTGATCCTGCAGAAGCGGCGTCGGATTGCGTTCGAATATCCGGATGTTGAGATCCTTGCGAAGGCGCTTCAATGCGACACCAGTTAGAAGGCCGCCTAAAGATCCTCCTACGATCACTATATCTTTGGGCTTTGCTGGCGCCATGGTGGTACCTAGATATGTTGCGAAGCGTCGAGTCTGGGTCAGAGCGGTTGAGGTTGAGCCTCCAACGCAATATGGTGGATGCTACATTTTGAGTACTGGGTCGATCATGATCTGCTCAAGGATGCAGCCTTGTATTACCGTTCGATGACATGTTCGAGGATTCAGTCGACGCGGGTGCCGGTCAAACATCGCAACCAACGGCAAGCCTCGGCAGTTGAAGCAGTGCTTATGTCATCATGACGCGCACTTATCTTCCACTCTCACCCGGGCCCTCTCACGAAGTCAAGGTACGCACACACCGACTGATAAACACCTGGTCCCTTATGCAAATGTGATTCTCGCGTCTTTATTATCATTTATCATTTATGTCTACAAAGCAATAACAGCTTACGCACACCTGGGTATCCGCCAAAACAAGAACTGAACTAAAAGCTAATACAAATCATCTCACACGCAACGCTAAACCTCCTGAAAGACCCTCGAGGGCGATGCAGAACTCATCGTCACCTCTAGCGCACCGCGCGCTTCGCTCTCTCTCGCCAATTGACTCGCGAACTTACTCTTCGCACGAATCGCCGGACCCTTAAAGTAAAAGATGTATACCGGAAGACAAAACAGCGCTGTCAAGCCAAACAGTACCAGATACGACCTCTGGATACCTAGATTGCTGTACATGGGCTTGGTATAAAGCGCACATAAACCCGCAAGCAGATCTCTCATGAAACCGTTGCCACCAGTCGCAGACGCGCTGTGTGGTCCGTAGGCGGCGACCATGTAATCGATGGACGCATAGTAGATGGCGAAGTTCGCGACTCCAATGAGGAGAGTGGCTATTATGACGCCGAACCAGTGGAGTGGCGGCCCTGTTGCGACGAATGCGCAGATAAGCAGCCCAGCAGGGAGGAGGGTGACGAGCCATAAGAGTGGCTTGAGACGTGCCTCAGGTGCGAGCTGTTCGCCCCGGCTACGTCGAGCGTTGTGGCGGGCGATTATGGGGAAAAAGGTGAAGTAGCCGATGATGTATGACACGGCTAACGCGACGAGAGCAAGCGAGATCTGCGTAGGCGTGAACGACCATTGTTGGAAGACGTAGCCGAAGCTCTCGAAGAAGGAGAATATGAGCGCGTCGGCGAGACCGCTCAGCAGCGACAGGAAAAGCACGATGGGCTCAGTCAAGAGCAGCTGGTATGGTCGAAACATCGTGGTGGCAACTTCCTTGTAGTGCAGCCTGTCTCTCCAATTCTTGTCTTCGTTCGGTCCCCGGATGTTGAGATTACCGCTCTTCCGCTCCTTCTTCGCAGCGTTGTCGAGCATCACAGGAGCCAGAGTCTCTTTGGCAATGACCCCGTGAAGCAGCTGGGTCGATACTCCAAGGATGAGCTGGATGTAGAAGTTCCAACGCCAATTCATGAACTGCTCGAGTGGGCCTCCGATAATCCCTCCGATGACTGCTCCTAGACAAGAGAAGAGCGAACACCACAAGACAGCATATTGCTGCTCATCTTTGTGGTACATGTCACCGACCATGCCCATGGTGACCGATCCACCAGCCGAAGACAAGCCGCCCATGATCCTGCCACCGATGATTCCGGCAAAGCTATTGGACGTGGCGCAAATCAGGACCGAGATGTTCGTCAGCCCAAGAGAAGCTTGCATGACAGGCCAGCGTCCAAATTCCTCAGAGAACGGCGCCCAGAATTCGCAGCCGAACGCATATGCGACGAGGAAGGCAGTCATCCCCAACCGGGCGTTTGTGATGCCGAAGTAGTCGTTCAGCAGAGGCACGGCGTTGGAGTATACCGAGGCGTTGAGATTCATGCTGATCTGACAAAATGCGACCACGGTCAAAAGGCACCACTTTCGTTTTGTGGACCAAGCGTGCGCAGTGCGTTCGGGCGAGGTGTGTTCGTTGAGGATGATGGTGGGCGCGAGGCTGGGGGCCGAGCGTTGTGGCGCCAGTGTGGTCGAACTATCCAAACTGGTACGCGACTGCGCTGGGGAAGAGTTGGTGGAAGTCATATCAGAAGACATGAAGTTTTCTGTTGCTGTTATTTGTGTGTGGTGTATTGGATTGTATGATAGTAGTGTCTTGAGATAACTATCTCAGAAAGGGTTCACTGAACATGCGAGATTATATACTAGAACAGTAGGATTTCACGATGGATACTCAACTTTGGATCGTCGTGAGTCACGTCAAAGTACTGTGGTTCTGTGGTTTTGCTCATCATAACTCATCCTATGGGAGAGGGTACATACTAAGCGAAAAGCTGAAGACCGACCACATGCACATCACAACCATGGTACGCAAGTAACATCCAGTAAGTAGAGTAGAACCGGCATCGTTCGTATATTCATTCCACGATACTGCTAAATTGTAAGTATTTGCTGGTAATGCACCATGGGTGGGCGTAGTGCTCAGGTGGGCGTGGACCCTGAACGTCACCTGACTTCGTCTTCCGGCAGGAGAGTAGTTGAGACACGGTTCCAAAGAAGAGTAGCAGGTTCGCTAAGTGTTGTGTTCAAGATCTTGAGTAACAATCTCTATGCTCAGCGAGTGTCTCTAGTACCAGCGATCAGTGCCCAGTAGGTAGCACTTTGAGTTACAGCAGTCTTGTACGCGAGAGGCCCGCTTCCCCACGAAGCAGTATCTCCATAGATCCAAGACCATGGCCTTTGTCCTCATTCTATACAAGGAAAGAGATGAACGAGTCTGCAGCCTACATTAAGATGAAAATATGCAAAGTAGATGATCTAACGTCAACGTAGGCTCTAGGGTGTTCAGAAAATTTCCTGAACGGGGTGGGCGCATGATATGATGTCGCGCGGCAACGACACAGTGATCGGAGATCCTGAATACGTTGCCGGATTGATGAACTGCTCATAGAAATGTCACAATGTATTCTTTATAATGCGTGGCAATGACGGTAAGATTATGTTTGTGTTTAGCAAGGTTAATTCGAGACCATTTTAGTACATGACACCAATAATACTAGACGTGCGGAAGTCCGTCGAACGTACACAGTACTTAATCAGTATGGTTTCGGTAATGACATATGATCTTGTTGAGTGTGAGGCGAACTCAAAGTCAAAGTGTTAGCGCGTCAGCGCGTCATTTCGCCAATGCCACATAACAACGGCAGGGGGTCGGGTTCGCGGGTAGGTACACCACGATATGTAGCAACCCAGCCTAGAACTGTGTTTACACGTGAAGTAATTGGGCCTCGAGGTCGTACAACACTCAATCTCTCGACCGCATCCTTGTACCTGATCACGTTCGCAGAAACCAGACGGAGATCCCGCCCTTCTCGGTCGGATGCT